AAACTCCGCATATAGAAAAGATAAGGGAATGCAAGCACAAAACAAATCTCAGCAAATAACAAAGATCAAGGCAGAAAAACAAAACTTCTCCAAAGAAAAAATAAAAAACAAAAACTATAGCTCAGACTCACTCATATAATTACAAAGCAACTCCAACCTAAAGACTGAAGAAAAATATCCCAACAAAAAATTTTTCATTAATTGATTGAAAATGAATTTTGATCCAAATTTAATGAAAGAGATAATACCAAGATATAATTCCTAATGAATGGCAAAGACGCAGAGTAAGTAATGGGTACAATAAAGCTAATACTTAAACGCAACCATAGAGGAAAGAATCATAAATAGTATCTGAAATATCAGGACAAAATCAATTAAAACAAACTAGAAGAAAAAAATAAGAAATCCAAAATTACCAATTTGTTGAAACCTAAATTGTTATTTGAAAGTACATGCTTGATAGTTGGAGCATGAAGGTCACACTTATAAAGGGAAAATGTTCTGATCGTCCATCCTTGCCCAGTCAACCAAACACTTGCTTGCTTCCATGCTTTTGCAACATAATGCATGTGTGTGTGTGCTTGCATAAGTGTTTGATCGTTATTGGGGCAATGTTTAATTCTCCTCAGTTGATCCTATACCCTAGGCGACCGAGCACAACACCTTTTGTGCTATGTGGATTGTGTGATGTCTTGCATAATTAGCGTCATTTTCCTGCGATGCACTTTGAGTGTCTCTTCATACACTTATCCCTCGGATCACTACCTCCACGGTATACCCATTTATGGGTCACTCTCCTCTTGGTCGGTTCACTGCCTCCTCTGTAAACCCATATGTTAGGTTGTTGCCTCCACAACATGCCCATTTTTGGGTCACAGCCTTCTCGGCATAACCATATGTCAGGCTGCTGCCTCCGTGTCATCCCCATCCTTGGGTCATTGCCTTCTCTGCAAACCTATCTATCGAGTTGCTACCTTCATGACAAACCCATCTTTGGGTCACTGCCTTCTCGGCATAGTTATCTGTTAGACGTCTGCCTCTACGACAGCCCACCCTCTTGGGTCACTACCTCCTCAACATACCATCTCTCGGGCATCCATCTCTACGTCACACCCACCCTTTTGGGTCACTGCCTCAACTACATACCCATCTCTCGGGCCTCCATCTCGATGAGACGCCCACCATTTTAGAACACTGTCTTCATGGCATACCCATCTGGTTGGCCTCTACCTCCACCCTTTCGGGTCACTACCTCTACAACATACCCAGTCTCCAGGCCTTTTCCTCTGCGACATTCTTACTCCTTTGAGTCACTGCCTCCACGTCACATCTATCCTTGAGGCTACTGCTTCTTCAACATGCCCACCATTGTGGATTACTGCATCCACATCACACTCATCTCTCAGGTCTCTGCCTCTATGACATGCCCACCTTTTCAAATCACTACCCCCATGACATACTCACCCTTTCTGCATGTGCCTGTTGCATGTCCTTCATATTTACATATGTGCTCGGTGAGTACCTCTCAAGTAAGGTGTGAATCTTTTCACAGTTAACATTTATTCTACACAAACTCATTTGTAACTGGTGTCTGATTGTCGCATGGCTCCCCGGGTCCCCGAGCAGTCATAATTTCTCACATTGGTAGCATGTTCTTACCGGTATATCCTGTTCATGTATCATGTTGCATGTAGTATTCTTGCATCCATTTGTGTCATGTGTGCTTCACCCTTTTCGGTGTCCGTTATGATTGTTTCATACTTCAATCGAAGAATGACATTGTGGGCTTCTTGCATGCTCGTATGCTTGCCCATTCGCCTTGATGGCTTGTTCTAATTATTAGGATAGTGACATGGTTGTTGGCTGTGATACTCAACCGAGAGGTCCCTCTGAGGATGCATCCACGAGCAATGTGAGTTTTTGTATCACAAACAACAAACAATATTTCTTTGCTAAGGATCCAAGGGTTTTAAGGTACATCATATGCATCGTCGACTTGCATTATATGATTTGTTATTTTAAAAGTATAAAAATGGATATTTTTACTATTTATGTTTTATTCACCCTACTTTTAAAATTATATAAGTTAGGTCAAATTTGTGGCCAACTTTTTTAAAATGTCACCCTTCTCTTGTAATTTGCTTTAGAACCCTTGGATCTTTAGGACGGGACCAGCGTGGCGACTCTGCCAAAGTAATATGATAGCTGGAGACTTTACTTCATGCACTTAGATTTTGGTTATGGCACTTCTCCTTAGATGGTGTGCTACGCTAGTATCTAGGGTGTTAGGTAGTATTTTTTTTATCTGTATATTATTCTCTACTGGATTGGTTGCTCTGATCAGGCATCTTTCCTACTTTATGCTTTTGGTGTGCCTTCATGCTTGATATGCATAGTAGCATGTTAGGGTCATTTTTTGCAGGGATTTGTGTCTTATATGTGCACTCACACAGGTACTTTGAAAGGGGGAGCATGTGATTTTTTCCACTAACCTTTTTCTTGCAATTGTTACTCAGCACCTCATCAAGCAAGACTCATTGTACGTTGTATAACTTTTCAAACTATCATGATTTTCTATGCAGGTTGAGTCTTTCTCTCTTGGTCTTCTGTACTTTTTAGACTCTAAGAAAGTCTTGTAGCAGAAATAAGATATGGGCACGAGTTTCGGGGTGCTTGGCTTGAGAACCGAGCGGAGGGGACCAGAAGCTTATGGTTGTGCCCCATATCTTATTCTGAATTTTATATTGATGTATAAAATTAGAACTTAGCATGTATATGCAGAATCCGATTGCATTTTTCTTTTCTAGGATATGTTGCTGCCAAGCGTTATTTAACATTATATATATTTTATTTGGTTTGTTTCTACCTTATTTCATGAATCTATGCTTGGAATATCTTATTTATTTATGTGGTTTGTTTGGGAATCACGATGTAAAATATACACATTAGTATGTAAGAACCTAAAATTTCTATAAATGCTAATAGAATATTTAAGATAATGAAATTTTAGGACTAAAATACTCAGGATTTTAAAATTTACACTTTTACTTTCCTGCATGGCCTTTAGATTGGATTTTAAATTGGTTGTATTGCATGGGCATAACTCAAGTCATGCTAATAGGGCTTCCATAATACTTAAGGACCACTTTAGATAACTGCATTCATATTGCATGTCCCGAGGAGACGCCTCCGTGCTTCTCTAACCCATTTGGACCAACATACATTTTATATAAATGTGGTTGTCTAGTGTGTCTAGGGTGTTAGAAGTCTTCCCAACCCATACAGAGTGTAAGTCATTTGTTTGGACTGTTTCCAGTTTTGTGGCTGAACCTCACGTTCTTTTTTTTCCCGAGGCAAACTCTCTATTTCATTAGATGCGAGTCTCATTTCTTTAAGCTCCAGCTTATAATCATAGGATAGAGTTTTCTTTCTCTGACCTTAGGGCTACTAAGGTCCCCGAGGAAGACGCAATTTATGGATAGCTAATCAGGGAGCTCAGGATGCGTTGGGTCGATTACCCTCACGACCGGGTAGACTTAGGTCATAGTAGCTTGGGATAATGGGCCCCCCGACCCAACTACATCTACTTTCTAATATTACTCTATCTTCATGTTGTTACACCCCTTTGAGTTTTATCGCTCCTTAGATTTATTGGTACGATCTTTGGTTTAATCATTTCATGTATAGAAGAAGAGAAATTATTAAAAATTCAGTCATTCCTCTCATGTATTTTGAGCCATACTTTATTTATTTTATATTGAGAAATATAATTATTGGCTCATACACATTGAGAGTTTCAAACTTGAAATTTATTTCATCAATAGTTGAAAATTGCATTGAGAGTTTCAAACTTGACAAACTTGAAATTTATTTCATCAATAGTTGAAAATTCAAAGCACTTCGCCAATGCGGGGCATATGAGCCACAAGAGCTGTGCACGCATTACAATTCTGATTTATTCAAGCTTTTAAGCCCGTTCAATTTATCTGAAGTTGAGATATTCCAGAAAACTCTTACGAGAGCTTCCGCTGTCGAGCAAGTCATTCATGTTTCTGACCGTTATAATTTATAATATTCCCTGGATTTTTAAAACTAACAGCGCGTCGTCCTCTCCTATAAATTCTACAGATATCTCTTCAAACATAACAATTGCTCTAAAGCAAAGATGGCTCACAATTTCCTTCCCTTTCGCGCTTCCAGCCTTCTCCTCTTTCTCGTATCTTTTATCATTAACGCACTCACAGGCCATGCCTCGACTCCAGCGCTCGACCAGAAGGCATCAATCATTTATTGATTATCCACTAATTAAAATGCGTTCGTTTTTTTATCTGTAATTAACGATAATAATCCAAATTAAATTATTTTTTTCAGGCTTATATTATTTACTTGGGTGGCCTGCCAGAAATGGACGATATGTCCACGGAAGCAGTTCATGCGAGTTACCTGAATAAAGTCATTACAAGGTACCTCAACTTCTTCATTCTTCCGTTAATTTTGCTAACAGATTGTTAAGTATTACACGCTTTACATCGTGTAATTAAATATTAATTGGTAATCATATTTTTTAAAAAATTAGTCTAATTGCTCGGTTATCATTATTTCAAAATCTACCAATTTCTTCTCTGAAATCAAAAGTTCATTAATGTACAGATCTAGCCAATAGCAAATATCTCCGCACCCTAATAACTTTTGCTTGTATACTAAATAGACTAATGGTGCATCCCATCACGATATTCCTATTTTGTACATGACACTCGTATAAAACAAGTAATCATATCTCCGCTTCCGTCCATATATCCAAAATTCTACAGTGGTGATGCTTCGAAACGAATGATTCGCCGTTATGTAAAGAAAATATCTCCGCACCCTAATAACTTTTGCTTGTATACTAAGTAGACTAATGGTGCATCCCATCAAGATATTCCTATTTTGTACATGACAATCATATAAAACAAGTAATCATATCTCCGCTTCTGTCCATATATCCAAAATTCTACAGTGGTGATGCTTCGAAACGAATGATTCGCCGTTATGTAAAGAGCTTCAATGGTTTTGCTGCGTTTTTGACCGATTACGAAGCGAAGACTTTATCTGGTAATAATAAATTCAGCTTTGGATGGCATATATATTTCTCCAACATACGCAAATGATATATATTTATATAATTACTTCTACATTATAAACAAAATATCTTCTTGGGCAGGTGTTGATGGAGTTGTGTCTGTGTTCCTAAGTAAGGAGAGGCAGCTTCATACAACGAGGTCATGGGACTACATGGGCATGCCAACAAACGTGCATCGTGCAGCTTTGGAGTCTGATATTATCATCGGCATGTTTGACACCGGAATTTGGCCGGAAAATGAAAGCTTCCAGGATTCAGGATTTGGGCCACCGCCGAGCAAGTGGAAGGGGACCCAGAAATATTTATAATCACATTAAAATAAATTAAAAAATAGAATAAAATTATATTAAATTTTATTTAAATAAATATTTTAATATAAATAATAAATTTAAATCTTCCCCTTACCTTTAATATATTATTATTTCGATTTATTGGCGAGAATTTGAAAAATAGACGCAAGCAAGTGCTAGTTTTGTATATAATAATTTTTTTGAGTATTATATATATAAAATTATTCCTACTTGATGCTGATCGTACAAGATGGAGAATTTGATGCTATTGAGCATTTATGCTTTCCAAAGAATGCCCCAATTATAAAATTCAGCTATTGCCGAGTTCTCTTTGGAAACCAGGTGGCATCCTCGAGACAATTATCTGTGCGCGCGCACGCTTTTGACATAGGTGCACCAGCTATTGAGACTTGGTGTTTGTTTATGAAATTTTATTTATTTAAAAAAGAGTAGAGATAAGAAACTTGAATTTTTATTATCTAAGTCTTATCATCTATTAAACTGCAGTATTTCTTAAAAGGTACAAGATTTCAACACGTTAGAGATATGATTACCTTCATAGTCAGGGGCACAATTTTTATATGCTTATATATCTAATGTCGAATGTTTAATTTTTATTATATCTAAATTCTTAGGGTCACAAAAAAATGTAGCTAATTTTATTTTTGTAAGTAAAAAATATATTTTCATGCATATAATTTTATATCATTATGACACTAAAATATTATAATATTTAATATTTTTAATGTATTAGATGTATAATGATTCCGCTTCTAATTGTTCTCTTTTAAAAACATGGCATGGCACTATCATAGATATTGATGTTATTTATGTAATATTAAATATTTGGGTGCTAGGAGTTTGAGTATGAAATTTGTGTGTGCCACCATTCAAATTTCCTACTATATATATATATATATATATA